GTCTCTTTGTGCTGATTTGGTTGGGGAAAATGCAATACACAGTCGTTGCTATCAATCACACTAAATATTAATTTATGTGTAATCTCAAATCCAACAGAATTAAATGGCACTAAATTACTGTTTATTACACTATACTTAGGTTTAACTTTATAAACTCGAGTTTTCAAGTATGTGAGATACGATCAACGAAGAGGTCAATCAATACCACGTCTACCAATTCGTTATCCAGAAAATACCTATTTAGATAAATGAGTGTAGACAAATGGTTGACTTCAAATAGGTTTGTCAGCGCAAGTACAATTTCATTTGGACTACGATTTTCGAGCATCAATTCAATATATTCTATTATTCTTATTTACAATCTCACACAATATATAGGTTTAACTTTATTTATCATGTACTTGTTTAGTTCTGCGTGAGGATGTATATGGATCTTTAATAAAGCACTGCATTGTTTCATTTAAAGTTTTGTTGTCATTCATAACAGTATTTAGCCGACCTCTCCGGTATCCATCTTTTCAAAACATGTCATATGTCTTTATGTTGTACTGGATGTTATATTCACATCAACGAAATAACTTGTTATCACCTTTTTTGCCTATCGGTGATATAGCTCAGATATCTTTTCATTGTGGTCTCATTGTGGTGAGTATTCATCTCTGTTGTGCAGATCTTATACTCTTATGCTGTTCAGCTCTTATTTCTTTAGCACCATCAGATTTACTTTAGCGTTCGCCTTCGAGAATAGTAATTAGGTTAGAAAGCATGAACTCTGCAAGAGAAATAAATGTCAAGATGGTTTCTGTGGTTACAAAGAGATCTGTTTTGAATAAGGGTCTTGATGTCATTATGGTAGTTTTCTTGTATAAACCTAGTGTCTTTATCTATAAATGGTCATTAATAAGCGGCATTAATAAGCATTACAGTTAATGCACAAGCACCCAATGTATTTCTGGCAATGATAATATTTCACTATGGATTTTTAATATCTTGCATTATCTATTGTGGAGATTCAGATATTGCGTTCCATTCAATTCAAAGAATTATTCTGGCATCAGTTAAATTTTAAAATAATCTCACCCAGAATAAAAAGTCTTTAATGTTTTCAAGAATAATATTCATAGACATAAAAATGATTAAGAAAATCTTGTATAACTTTTGTATAAAATGTATAATTGAACATGGTGAATGTTTTTGTTGGAATTCAACGCGAGGAAATGGCATTTACATTTCTCTTTACTCTGCGGGAATTACTGCATTTGACGTGCGCGCCGTGTAAATTCAACTAAATGTTACATTATTTCGTATATTACATACAATGTTCTTACGTTTAATTATTTTAACGACTTTTTTAAAAAGCTTTAATTAAAAAATTTCATATGTTTTCAATTAAGTTATAATTCTATTTAATTGTTGATTTACGTCATCTCATCTTGTGAAAGTCATAGTGATCTGTATTTAATCTCGGTGTTTTGCAGTCAAAGGGTCAGGGTATAGAATGGCAGCAAAACCGGGGCATCGCCGGGACGCCTACAAATTACACTGCAGCTGCGGGGCTCTTCCTACTGTTTTTGCCCGCATCGAAATGCTAATGTAATTTGGTATTGACCGAGATTAAACTCCGCGTAATTCCGTTTTAGTTAAATTACTACGAGTGAATGCAAGTCAGATACGTGTCCTAATTCAATCTATTTAAATAATCAAAATTTTATTATCAATTAAAAATTATTTCAATAATTTCTTTTTTCTTTGATGATTAACGAATACTAATATCTTTGAAATGTATTGTATTCTACTTGCACGCAAAATTTTCATTACTGTCGTTTTTCAATCATAAATAAAATACGACTTACGAAGTGCAGCACGAAGGAGCTTGAGTTAAGCTACTTGGCAAAATAATCACGTCCTTTTTCTCTGCATAACGAAACCTGACGGGCTCAAATAGGGCTAAAGAGGCGGGTACGGAGGCCGTCTAAGGAATATTAATGGGGAGATTTTGAATTGTTAATATTTACTGGACGTGCTTTCCTTGGGTTAACCTAATTTCACTTATACCCCAAAAACGGAGACTGTCGTAATAGATTCATAATAACACCAGATCTTAGATATTTATGAATAATTTAAATTTTAATAAAGATTTTTTTGCGACGTTGTATTTTTAGTCAAGATAAAATAGCTACCATTGTATATATAGTTGATGAATGTAAATGTAGCTCGCAACATGTTCCAAGTGATGTAGTACTTTCCAAGATTAAAATTAATAGGGAAAGTGTCAAATGCACCCCATCCTTTCCAGTTTCTCACACTGCAGATGTTACTTTCTTACTACTAACAATAAGTACACTACTACCGAACTAATTAACTAACTGTGGTTTGGTTATTTATGAACCTACCAAAGATGATGTTAATTGTACGAGTAATCTTGGAAAACTTTGAATAAATTACTGTAATCATTACTACTTTATAATAACAACAATATTAACATAAAGTTCGTCCCATATGTCTCGCGCAATACATCAACCTTTATCCTAGAAGCCACCATTATCTACAGCAAAGGCACATTCGTGCGATACTGTTGTAGCAAATTGCATTTTCGCCAACGGACCGGCTGTCTCATTGCAATTTACCAACGGTTCTCTGTGTATGTTGAAATGAACGTATATCTAACGTCTGCCCCACTTCTAACCTTGTTGACATCAATGAGAAATCAACTTTGTATAATAAAGTTTGTTGGATATTATGTCCTATTTTAACAAAAGGAGGAAATACAGTCAAACCTCGATATAACGGACTAATACAAGGAAATTACGAGGTAAAAAATGTTTAATTTGCACTATAAACTGTTTGAATGAATACCCGAATGTTTCTAGTTCCAGGTCTAGTGTTAGTTCTAGTTTTAGGTTAATGAAAAATATTCAACAAACTAACGCTGAATAACAACTAAAAGTGGAACTAAAACTAGCAATAGAACTAACACTAGACCTAGAACTCAGCCGTAGAACTTAGCTGTCTTAAGAGACGCACGATTAAACCCGAATGTTTCTAGTTCCAGGTCTAGTGTTAGTTCTAGTTTTAGGTTAATGGAAGAATATACAACAATCTAGCGCCGAATTACAACTAAAACTAGAACTAACATTAGCATTAGAACTAATACTAGACCAGGAACTAGAAACATACGGATTTAGCCGTCTTAAGAGACGTACGGCTAAACCCGAATGTTTCTAGTTCCGGGTCTAGTGTTAGTTCTAGTTTTAGGATAATGAAAAAATATACAACAATCTAATCGCGCTGAATAACACAACGGCTTATGTGTCTTCAGAATTTTCGGGGAATACCCTGAGTTTATCTATGAACATGGAATAGATCAACTTGAGAAATAACGCGAGTTGGATTCTATCTATAAGCACTAGCATTTATTTTTAAATATACTGATGTATTAAATAGATAATATTAATAGTATAGTTTAAAAATATTTTGTCCGTTATATCCGAAGTCGAAGTTTTACTGTATATCCTTTTCTTTTCTGGGGATATAAAGAAAAGAGATAGTGTTTTGTTGACTTTTACGTGATCGTAAAAGTGCGTAAAAGGATGAAAAAGAGAAGGAAAGAAAGGTAGTTGCATCGATTTTATGGTGGCTTTTACGAGGTCGAATATCCGAAAAACTTCACCGACTCCGATATAATTCTCGTTGTCGAGGTTAGGCCATTGCCCTATATTTATTGGTATAGAATCGTCAGCACACGCCCGATTTGAATTCGAACGCACGGTAGGTTTGCACCATTAGAGTACAATGGTTTGAGCATTTACCGACACCACTCAAATGGATTGTAAACTTCTGCATTTACGCAACCGGCGGAACGCATTAAAATCATCGTCGTGGTACGTTTATAGTTTTCAATACAATTTTTTTTTGTTGAAATTCCGAAATTAATCGAACGGATTTTGCGATTTTCTACCACTTTTTTTTCTAAACAACCGACACGTTCTATCGGTGTGGTATTTTAATGGAGTAATAAATTCCGTGTCAATTACGAGAGAGGTGCAAAATAATTTTTGATTAAATTCCTCTTCCAGCGCATGTGGTTCTATGGTTAGACCATACATCACTTTGAACAATGTATATTCTATCCTTTACGTTTCCTCTCATTGTCGCGTTTTCCCGTTAAACCTATACCTAACATACCGAAACGTATTAACTTGAAATAAAGTGGAACCATCACGTCGGATGAAACGGAATTTAGTATGTGAATATATCCGAAATACAAAGTTAACTCAAAAAGAGTTAAATAACGTTATCTTATAAAATGGTTGTTAAGATTGACATAAATAGATGTGAAGTAAGAAAAGTTGTTCTAAAATAGCATTTGTAAGGATTTTTATCATTGCATCGTATTTCTTGTCGCTGCAGATAATGCTGTCCCCATAAACAAAGCGAAAAGGCGGCGACCGTGTTGCGAGATCGGGCCAAAATAAATTCGAGATTGACTAGAAGTGTGCCGTTTCGCTGTCGTCGTCGTTGCTACGTAGTACTAGTTTAATTCGGTTCGCATTGATCTACAATACTGCAGCAGAACAGAACGGAGCATCGCGGACGCAGAAGCCCCAACCAACCTACATTCAATGCCAGTCGACAGCAGTCCATTGCAATATTCAACCTCTCACTTTGTCGTTGGCTTCATTGACGCGTATATGAATTCTCTCGCCCAGCCCCCAACCCCTCTCAGACAATGAGAACGAATCATTGTTCTGATGGGCAATGGCTGATTGTTCTGGTAATTAAACGAATAGACTGCTGAGCATGTTATTTTGGAACGGACAACAAAACGAGATAATAAATTAAAAAACATTCGATTTTGATAAATACAAATAATTCTTAAATAAATATTAATAACAAACGTATTTATTACGCAAACGTTGATGTTATTGGATGAAATAAATTCCATTTTACTGATTTATAGTTTAAGAGGGGTTGGATAAACGTTTGTAGGTGACACATACCGGTAAACAGGTGGTATACCCCGGGGCGTATATCACGTGATCGCAGGCACATTGACAGTCCCTCATCTGTTCGGACAGTTCGAATATCAATTCTGGATCGTCCATTTCCGGTGTGTCGATACCGTCGCCAGCGGCTCTTCTTTTACCACCACTACGTAACTGATTACCATTCGATCTGAAATGAAAAATTAAAATATTACAAAAAAAATAAATCGAAATAAAACGATATCAAACAACGAGTTTAATTTAACAAGAATTTACGTAACGTTTAATAAAAAGAAATAAAAATTTCAATCATTGCAGAAGATTGAAATGTTAATTACGGTAATTTGAACAGCGAAAAAAGAAATGATGAAACCGTCGTTGGAGAGAGATGGATTATTATATTATGCGGTAAAATGAGGTCGTTTCTGCATAGGTTGTTTCGAAAATTACCTGGATCTGTAATAGATACGTTGCGGGATTTTGAGTCCCACAAAAAAAGCACTTTTGAATTGCAATGCGGGGGATTTCCGCTAACGCGGACGGAAGGCTAAAAACAAGATCGGCTGAAATATAGCCGGATATACTTGTCGCTTTGAAACGGCCCGGTCGTCGTCCTCCGGTCATAAATCTCGCCCTCTCCAAACTTTGATCGTCGATAGTTCGGTTTTTGAACGTGTCCGGACCTTTTTTTTACCATTTATTTCTTTTCCTCGTTTTCTGATCTGTCTGTCATCGTGACAGAAGAAACGATAACGACACAGGTTGTATAATGAACAGTAATGAAACACTTTAAAAAGAGTTATTAATTAAAATAGTCAGTTTATTTAAATTGGATCCCTTCAAAATTTGGCGGAGGCGCCGGTTCCTTAATAATTGATCTCATTTTCTTGTTAATTATCAATTAATAGATCTGTTGCCCTTCGTGGAAACAGACTTATTAACTTTCCACAGTGAAGGAAAAGTAAACTATTTAATCGTTACTTTGAATATATAATGGAGTTGCTCTCTTTCTTTAATAACTGTGGGGTTGGTTATAACGTCACACTCACTAGGAAAGAGAAAGGAGTAAGAAAAGTAGAAGTTGGTCATTTTAGTACTCAGTCCGACATACACACTTTTGAAATAGTCGAAAACTTAACTATGAAAACGTCTGACTATGATCTCCTTCATAATGCATCAAAAACATCAACATGATGCTGTTTTATATCACCTGGGTTGCATTGATTTGTTTTAATGTATTTTTGTGCTATCTTTGCAAAAACCATCATTGCATAAAATTTGACTTGGAGCGTTCTTAGATGTTGCCAAATCAATGCTGGCACAATATAATTTTCTAAAACGGAATAAATCAAAAGCAAAGTACAATCATAGGTAATAAACAAGCCTAAGAGACAGTTATGGAAATACGAGAAAGTACAACTATCAAGAGACTCGTTGTTGCAGAAAAGAAAGATAGGACAGAAAATTAAGTGGAGGTGCGTTCATGATGGGTCTCACTAGATGTAGACTAGAAAAAGGAATGCAGATGATCAGATGTTGCAAGTGTTTGAATCATAGACACTTAACAACATCTTGTAACTGATCGAATTGCAACGGGTTCTGCAATAAGTATGGAAAGGCTAAACAAAAACGTTAGTAATGCCAAAATGAAGATACAAGAATCTTACTTTTAAGATGTCGCACAAGGTTGAGGTAATACATGAACACATGAACAGAACTATGAAGCTGCTGGATCTGATAGATAAAAAGGCAAGTGATGAAGCAGTCGATATAATCATAATGTTTGAACCTAATAGAAAGTAATTAAAAGCAAAAATCTTTAATCAGATTATTAAACAGAACTAATTTTGATAATGTCTCAGTTAGACATTTATAAGATATAAAGGCTACATAAACTTCAACAGTCTTTTTGTCATTTCAATCACTATTCTGTGAGATCTAACCTGAATTTCTTTTCTATGTCATATTTTTAGAGTTCAATTCTGATGATTTAGAGATCTTATTACCATCAGATCTTATGATATAGAAAATGATATCATTCGAAATGAGAAAATAATATTGTGACGTTCATTATTTCTTCTGGCCTTTCAAAAGAAAGTGCGTTTGCAAGTCGGGGGTTTAATTTGAGTGATAAATGAGATAACTCTCAGAAAACTTAGACGGTAATTAATCAATATAACTCTTAAACGGTGATGCAAACAGGACTAAAAAAAAACAGATGATTCAGAAAATTAATTTTAGCTTACAACATGAGGCACTTTCTAAACATTTTCGGCTGCTAATTATACGCGAAGGGTGAACTTCGCTTTAACAACTCCCAGGTTATCTAAGTGTTTACAATACATGATGAAATTACTTTAACAAAAATCAAGAAATACGGTTTAATTAGAATCAACAACAATTCGTTTTATTCGTTTCTTTTCCATATATTTCATTGAATTGAAAATAACAGTAAGTTTAATTATGAATACGATACGATATGGATTTAAGAATTGCCTTATAATTGTTTCTAATAATTCCCTCTTATTAATTATGGTTACGATGTCTTCCCTTGAGTGTAATGCAGTTAGCGCAAATAACACGCATGCAGCCGCATTGTGTACGCTAATTAGTGGGGATTCCGATAGCCAATTGATATTATTAATGGCTAAGCAGGGTGGTTGATAGAATTAATTATGTTTATATTTACACTATTAGTAACGTTTTAACTCTCAGTTTCATGGCGTTACACAACATGTATTTTAACACGAATTATCTAATCATTGAAAATCACGTAATCAGTAAAGTTCTAAATCTAACCTTTTTCTTTCTATTTATTTATTCTGATTAAACGTACTCTCATTAAAGTATCAATGTACCCACAGGAATATTACGATCATTGGAAGTTGAGCAGTAGCAATGATGGAAATCCCCAAGTGAAGCGTATTTCGAGCAAAACGTCCGATTGCAATCCCAATTAACGTAGCTTAACTCTAACAGTTGCCACTAATACTCTTTCGTTCCGTGTTCGTTCGTTCGTTAGATCGAAAGCATTGCGGTTTAATTAATTAAAATAAACCAAAAAGTTTTATTCGTTTTCAAAAATCCAACAAGAATGACTTGGGGAATTACATATATGCGGAGATTCTATTTATTAATCTAAATATTCTAAATAAAGGAAAAATTTGAAAGAAGGAACTTATTGATTAGCTAAAATTATATGTTATCATATTAAAATTTTTATGAGTTTTATGACGTTTTCGTTTCGGTTTGGACCGAGGGTGAGATAAGGGAAAGGGATACAGTGATAATGCAGGAAGGATTTTATGGGGCGAAACGTTGACATCCCACAGGACCAATATTTTATTCGCTCTTCGGCATACCCTCATATACCATATACCCACACACACACTCATACGAAACACGTCCTTCGGATAAGACTGTAATTTTTTTAAAAGATAAATTAGGGGATTCGAAGGAAATGTCGATGGTATTACATCTTACATCGCGGGAATACAAAATTTCTTTTTACCACCTCCACAACTACTGTTATACGTGAAACTCCAAAGTCTAAGGTAAAACCTGACCGCGAAACATTTTCTTAAAGCTAACGCCACCTGCATGTTGACTTGGTCGCAATTTTCCTTCCCAATCTAGTTTCACCAGGTAATCGATAATGTAAGTCGTTTCGAAGTTTGCACATAGAATATTCAAGTTGCCGCATGCAGTTCGTGAGATGGTGCAACGCTCCCACTGTTGAATCTTTGAATTCTCCGCCTTATCTTACCTATAATAACTAAACTCTAAACGGCTCCGGAATATGTATGGAAAATGCAATCAATAATGTCTTTGTAACAAATCACACATGATTCTAAGCTTATTTTGACAAATCTGCTTGTAGCTATAATCTTAGATTCGTATGGAGTAGAACGTGTATAATTGATCACATTAAGCAACTTAATTGCAAATGATCCAATAGGATTATATGGACGAACTCGGAGATGATCGCTCTTATAATTGAATTACTCCAACAACTTAATTCCAATCAATTTGTTCACAGATTACCTCGAAGATAATTGATTAGTAAATGATACATTTATTAAGTATATATTTTTTAAGTCTTTATAAATGGAGAAAAATATCTAGTATGTTCACTTACCTTTCACTCATAGCCCTCTTGAAACTTTGCGCCCTCTTAAATCCGTAATCGTCGCACTTAAAGTCCTTTTCGTAACCGAAAGTCTTTACCACCGCGCAATTTTCTGGTACGTAACCATCATAAAACGTGTTATTCGGACCACGATGGATGTTAATAATTTCTGGGGATTGTATTCTTTTCAGGGACGGTCCTCTATCCAAACGTTGTTGTGTGCGTTGCTGTCCACCATCATTTTGTTTTAATTTTCCACCCTTTCTATCCAGGCTGTACTGACTGGAATTGGACGCGTCCAATTTCGTAAGAGAGCAAAAACCCCTATTTGTCAGCGCGATATTCTGTTCGCTAGTATAACGTGGCTTCAAACGATGGTGTTGTGGATACGAACAGTTACAGACCAGCTCAAATTCCTCGTTTCGAACGTATTTATTAGCGTTCGTTTCGGTTTGTTGGTGAACATCGTAACCCGTTTGATGTCCGCTACGATCATAAGTTGTGTTCAACAAGAGTTCCTCACTATTATTAACATGTTGTTTACAACTTCCTGCGTAATCAGAGTGCTGGCTTGTTGAATGGCTAAGACTCAATTCGCTTGCAGGTATTATTGTTCCTAAGTTTTGGTAATCCCCGAAATCGTTATCGTTCGGTGTTGTTACTTGAGTGTATTTCGACGACTTCATAACTCTAGTTGCTAACTCATGACTCATCTCCTAAAAACAAAAAATTTTAATTAATACACCAAAAAATCTTATCTATTTAGATATTTTCCACTTTATAAAATCTCCACATCTCACTGAAGTGGAGCTTCAATGAGACCATTAAAGTACATGGTCAAAATGAACCAGATACCGTTAGAGATAACTACTCGGATAAGACTGAATCCTTAACGCATATTCTCTCTCCATAGAAACCCGGGCTCCAAAAACTGAGAGAATAGAGATATTAGAGGCACGATGTGGTAGAGAAACGATTATCCGAAAACGATAAAGAGCGGTCCACCGAGAACGATTCGCTGCAAACTGCAAACTCGTTGATGTTTTTCGGATTTTTCTAAAAAGTTTAAACCTAAAATCACGAAGTCGAATTTGAGAAAAATGACTTTTAAACATTTTATGGTATTATTCTCGAATTATAGCTTCATCTTTTGTAAGGTGGAGTTCCATTTCCAAGACGAGATTGCGAATCTACTTCGGACTATGATTTATTTAGAACGACTTCCCCTTTGGATAAGGGTCGAAAAATACCGTTTCTAACGCGTCGAGAAAACTTACTGGGCGATAAGTGACGTCGTCTTTCACTGGCTCGAAAAGTAATATTCGCGAAATTAAAACCTATACGAATCCCGCAAAAGGAAATAGTCGTACGTTTTAAATGGAGCCCCCAGCAAACGGCCGTCGCCTCTCGTCTCGAAGATCCGCTTTTCTTTGTGATAGATGTGATGTTTCTTGGCAGTGCATCCGCACCCGAACTTCAAGTTGAGGAAATGCCACGTTCTTCGGAGAAATAATTCGTAAACCGCGGAAGTTATGAGAAATTCAATTTTCAAGATAAGGTTTTTGCAGAACTCCACTGGTTTGCTTCCTCTAAGGTATTTGCCGTGAGTTTTGCAAAAGTGGATATTACCTGAGCTCCCATCAAAGGCAATTTAAATGTTTGCTTTTGCAAAACAGCCGTACATTTTTCGTGTATATCTCATTTCCTATTCCATACCGAACGGTTTTCGCCAAGAGAAAACTGTCTTGTCATCTTAGCGAATATCCACTTTAAAAACTGCTCAACGACAACGAAATGGTTTCATATGCTATACCCGAGTTGCAATATATCAGATTAAGAAAATCTTTATTAAATACAAAATCATTTCGTTTCTATCAAAATAATTAATATATTTATTTTATATTTATAAAACCCAAGAAGGAAAGTAGAAACCTTTGGGATTTACCGAATGAACAAGAAAATAATCGAGTAGAAACGAAATTCACGAGGGCGCGCAAATAAACGTTAATTACAAATGAAGAAAAAAAGCCTCGAGCTTTAAAGTGAATTTAAATACAAATTTAAATACGTAATGAAATGGAGAGGCGAAAAATACTCGAATTTAAAATGTGCTAATGACAAAGTATTCTGAAACCGTTAAAATGCTTTTTCGCGTTTTAAAAGATAAATGTAATCTAAATATTTTGTGGATTGCGATTTCGATTCGATGTTTTATCATTTAGCTGACTCAATCGATCAGTTTCATTGTGACATAAATCATTTTTAAAAATTTAAACATACTATATCTCATTTCCTATTCTGTGCCTTAAAAATTTAAATACATAATTTATTAAAAAGGCAAAGTAGGTAATTTAAAAAAATTTTTTGAAGTGACTCATTATGATTTCTGATGAAATAACCATCAACAAAGTACTACATTCGATGTTCTGCTTCGGTAAATTATGAATTCATCTTTTGAATATAGCCAAATTTTCATGTTCGCGGAGATTGAGATTCCGGTGCTTTTTAGGATGCAGCACATCTCGCGGATAGTTTCTATCGAAAGTTCGCCACCGCACGTACCATCCTTGAAAGTTTGAGAGCAACTGCAGCGGAGCTTTTACGTGCGCACTACGGCGGTAACAAGAATTCCTGAAAAAGAAGCTCGCATAACGCGAAAACCGTAACAAGTTTTTAAAGGGAGTCTATTAACTTTTTGAACGAAATTTATAATGTTAAATTTGTTTTATAATTAGTTAACCATTCATAACTTTATATACAATTTTCAATCAGTGCGTATATGATAATATTATTCATTATTATTCAATATGGTAGATTTAAAATAACAGACAAAATTAAACCAGGGGAGTTCATATATTGTTTGCAGGCTAATGGTGCTGACATAAAGAGGTTTATTGGTCATATTCAGTCAAACATGTGAAACAGAACACGTTTATTTATACCACAAAAATAGTGGAATTGCCGCCTGTATATACGGGGCGTTTATCATTACCAATTCCTCTGAAAATTTTAATTGTAAACAAGTGGCACCATATTTTAAATTTTCCAAAAATACAATACCTGTTGGCTTTTAATTAATTTTGAATAATAAATACATCCGGCGTCGAGTCGCAACGTCATATGATATATGCGTTTAATATTCCTAGGTGCCCATTGTTATCCTATAACAACGAATTTTATTTCCATGATATTTATTGGACACTTTTCAAAATACACCAATATTTATTGCAACCTATTTGTACACCAGCAATTAGTCGCGGTGATGTAAATCGTGATATACATTGCTGATCATCATGTATTATTTATGTTTTTGCTGTGTTAGTTTAACCACCGATTTATTTTCATTTCAATTGTACATAGAATGAACATTTGTTAGGAAAATATAATCCTTTATTCAACGATTACAATTTAATATTCTAAAAATTATTCAAAAGGATTTCCCCGATTTTGCACCACAGGACACATGTATAATTCATTACCAAAGCACTCTAACCTTCAAGATGGTCATGCAAATTCACGATGCAAGGTTGAGCGCGCATCTTTCGGACGACGAACACCATTGCGGCCAGTTCCGGGCCGTTGAAACTTTAAACTCGGCCATTTATTAGACGTGCCGCATTTTATTTCGGTAACACGAACGTCGGACGGGTCCCAAAAACAAACTAAAAGCGAGATTTATTAAATAAACCGGAATATTTGCATATTAAATTGTTCTGTACCCGCCCGTTCGGGCAATTTTAAATTTCTCTTTTACCGAGAGCAAGTTTAGCGGGCGTTAGTTTAACTCATTTTGCGTGCTGGATATATTGCGGCTTAACAAGATGCATGGATACAGTTCACCGTTACAAATTGAAAAAGCGAACCGTTGTAAGCTGAACATAAATCACGGTTTTTATAAGAACAAAAAGAGACATTAACTTGGACTTGGCTTTCTTATGAGGGATTTGAAAAATTACTTTTAGTTTTTAATAATTTTTTAAATTAATATTAATTCGTTTCGTTTTTTGATTAATAGTCACTAGAAATTGTATCGATCAAAAACAACATTCCAAAAAGAATCACCCACGATTACAATCAAAAAAAATTTGGATTAGTCAACAAAATAATGTGGTACAAATTACCATTTTTTGTACAAATTGGCAAAATGCAAGAGCATGATACTGACCTCAAGTAGAAAGAAGACCAAAAGAACAGAGATAATAGAATTTGTCCAAATGTAAAAGTCATCAAATCTTCAGCAAAGAGGTCACACCAGAAGTCACAATTCAGTATTATACCATATTGGAATGACAAATCAAAACGTTGACGAATCGTCAGTTAGAAATATTCTTTCCTGATTAGCAATTACTGAAACTCAGGCGACTACTACCTGTAAACCTGAAGTGAGCACATGTCTGACAGTTATGAAACCACAGGAACTCCATTGTCATGTTGCAATACCGCATATCGCTGTATGCATCGCATAATGTAGAATGTAGATCACTACAGATAATTCCATAAATTATTTTATCAGCAATTTTTTCAATGATCATAAATATGTAAACTAGTGAAAACTTGTTTGAAATTTTTCAAAACTCTTCGAAGTATATCAACATGCAACCTGAAAACGTCCTCTCTTCAGATTTCAGAGTTATAATTTATTTATCAATTTAGAGTATATCAAACAACCTTCTTAATATAGTAGGAAGTTATTTGAGCTAACGATTCGTAGAATACCACGGGAGTAAACATAAGATCAACAGCGGAGACCCATAAGAATCGATACTAGGCCCTCTCCTATGGAACGTGTACTTCGACCAGGTGCTTGAAAAAGAACAGCGAGACAGCCTTGATGAAGGTAAGCTAGTAGCATACGCAGACGATCTGGCGATTGTGATAAGCGGCTGGAAGATAGAGGAGCTACAACTGAAGACACAACAAATAATAGAGAGGGTGACAAGAAAAATGGAGGAGATGGGTGTGGCACAAAAGAGATAGATATCAATGTCAAAGAGCTACGCTCTGACTCAGTTTATGCGCGGACACGGATGTTTCAGACAATACTTGCACAAATTTAAAAGGTTAGGTTAGGCTGGCAATGAAGAGGTGTGAAAATTTTGTCGTTGAAGTTTTCACACCTCTTCACTACCAGCCCAACCCAACCTAACCCAACTCAAACCAATCCAACCTTAGTCATTGAAGTTTTCAGACCTCTTAACTACCAGCCCAACTCAACCTAACCAAACCCATACTAACCCAACCCAACCAATGGTACTTTTCTGCAATACCAGCCTTACCTACAACCTCAGATCAACAACCAAAGACCAAAATCAATTTTATTACTTTCAAAAAGAAACATGTTCTATTTGTTTATGCGATTTGAATCAATAATGAATGCGATATCTGTAAAAGTAGTCAAAAAAAATTCAAGATAAGCTGCAGAAAAATTTAGTGAAACTACTGGAAAGAACTTAAATTTGATTACTGATTTCAGTTTTATGCTGTTAAACGTTCCGAGCAAACAACGAGGCTCTTTCGACGTTCAAATTTAATTGGGAAAGTTCTTTAAACTGAAAATCATCTTTATCAGATTTATTTTAGTTTTTAAGATAATTTTACTTGTTATATTCGTTATTATGAAATTTAATATTTATGTAACCAAACCAAAGTTTTAATACAACTTGAAATGTTACGAAACAAGTTGTAAAACTTTACACATGAAGGAGATAAAAACGAT